GAAATTGGGTAGCTGTTCTGAGGTCCTTGTTGGTGTTGCTTCCCAAGTTCCATTGATCGCCATTTGGCTCAAGACACAATTGAGGTTCAAGATCTGATGTGTGACTGCATACATACGTGATCGGCATTGAGAGCGAAAACACTTCGCTTGCGCTGCATTTGTCAGGACTACTGTTGTAACTATCATTCCTTCTCCCTTACAACGTTTACACGGGTTCGGCTATAACGGCATCGTCCGTATACACCTTTCTACGTGGTTGGTATTACAGCTTGAGGGTTCGGTGCATAGCGTCCCACGGGACGTCACCTTGCCGTCTCTTGACATATATATATATATATATGTGTGTGTCCCCTGTTGGGCAGGGAAAAGGGGGGCGTTCAACTTCAGCTGTTGTTCAACCCAAGATGATGTCGTGGTAGTTTAAGACGCACCGCTGTTTGTTTGCCAATGTTGATTTTGAGTTTCGGACCCTATTTCATGGTCCAACACCGGCTTCATCACTTTTTGTCTGGGGGTGCGTGGTTTGCCTGCTTAGGACAATCAAGTCCCCGACCTTTGAACGTGTAGAAGCACTCTGGATGGGGGGGGAGTTTTTTTGTTTCAACCAAAAAAGGGAACTGTGCAAAGGCGCATCCAACCCAAAGCGTTTTGCCAGGTGTTTGTCGCTTCCCAGGGATCAGTTGTCCCTCCCTTCGCCCAGCGGAAGACACAAATTCCATTGAACCCGAACATTCACCCCGGAACAAAAGCACCTGAACCCGGAAATTTTCCTTTCCCGCAAGGAAAAAACCCCAAGCCCGAACCCGACAACCCCTTCCCCACCCCCGCGGCAAAATTCGCCGCCTAACCAGACACTGCCACCGTCGAAGAGCGCACCTGTTCAGGCAGGTTACACGGCATAGATGCACCCAGTAGCTGTTCTGAGAAAAGTAGGCGCAGGCGCCAGCGGCAGGGTGCTTTGGGCGTGCTGCTGTCAGCGCACATGCCCGGGCAACTGGCAGGGTGGAACAGCACCACCATGAAGATGTGGACGGGCCCGGCCCTGGCAAACCTTACCAGGGCGATCTTGACAGGTGGCTGCGCGCAGCTCTTGCCTCTGCGACGTGAGCAGCTTATTTTACCGTACAGTTACCACATGGCGTGGCGCGTCCAAGCCGGCTCTTCTCCGTGTAAAAGGACTTGCCCTGCCCTGCCCCAGGGCTCCTTGCAAGGGACCTTGCGCATGGGAATGGAGACGCGCCCCAAAAACTCTGGGTTGGCGTCCGTTGTAGGGCATCCGCCGCCCCATCATCCGTGACTCCAGTTGCACAGGCACAACCCCAAGCCCACCCCAACACGCCACCAACCTTATTTTAGCCCACCCTTGCGATGTTGGGGAGGTTGATTGCCCCCCCCTCATGGTTTCCCATCTTTTTCAACAACCCTTCCCCCCCCTGTTGTTTCCGACCACCCTCCCCCCCCCCCATGTTTCCCAGTAGAGCCATGGTTCCTTTTTGCTGCCCAATGTTAAGTACCCCCCCATCCTTTCCCCAAAGTGACGCAGAGCCTGTCGCAGGTAAAGGTGAAGGTGCCGCTGGGAAAGATTCAGGAGAAAGATTTCAAGGGCATGACCAACGAGGTGACCCTCACCTACACCCGGAACACGCAGGCCATCCAGGTTCAGGCTGGGGCGGCTTCATCGACAAGACAGCTAATAAGGTGTTAGGGACGAGACACCACAAGGCGCAAACGAATGACAAGGTTGAGCTGATGCTGGACGGCCTGCGCTGGTGGAGTAGTGCGACGAGGGCCGCATTGGCCGATGGAGGGGGAGAGTCCGCCTACCTGGGGTCAGGGCAGAACGCCAACTCCAGCATGGAGCCGAAGGGCGTGCGGCCGGCGGTTCCGCGGAGGAGTTCAAGTGCGGACATCGCCAACACAGTTGGTCTCAAGCTGCGCAACTACCCGGGGTGGCGTGACAAGTTGCTGAAGCACAGGAGACCTTTTTGCGCCCTCAGCTACTTGCAACGATGAGTGGCAGCAAATTGAGTCGTCGTCTGTGTGTCGAGCAGTAGCCAAGGTTGGTGGAGCGGGGTTTCCCAAAAGTCTTGGGGGCACACTGGCCGCCTTTACGTGATTCCAATGCACCCGTGGAGGTGGCGCGTCCGCCTTTCCCTGCCCATCGAGACATCACACAAGACCTGATTCTGACCGCCGTTGCCGAGACTACCGTGTGCATTTTGATGTTGCTCCTTGAAAGAAGTCAGCGCGCGGTCACCCTCGTTAGCGGCAAGGCCCTCGATGTAGTTCTCGAAAACGGCCCTGATCTCCTTCTGCGTGAAGCCGCTGGTCATTACTTTCACCATCCAGCCCCCTAGGACTGCGCGCGGGGGCCGAGCCAGATGCCTTCCAGGCCGCTTGTTGCTGACCTTCTGTTTTGGCCTGTCTCTTCGCTCTTGCCCGGGAGCTTGCAGGTTGACAAGTTGACCCATCAAACGTCTTTGCTTCTAACTCTGCACATTTCCGCTCGTTTCGCTTTTCTTGTGTTTCTTACTTGTCTCCTGTTCTTGACTTGATCGGTACCAATCCAGGACTTCCGGTTTGCCAAGCCAGCCCTTCAACTTCACCGCCTCCGGCAAGTGCTTTCCTAGATGTCCTTCGTTTCACGGGCGGCACCTTGCTTGTCGTCAGTTTTTTCTCGCTTGTGACATTTTTTTCTCACCTGTGACTATCTCGCTTGTGACGGCGCACAATTGGTCACGTAACACATCGCAAATTACAACGTTTTGTGCAGGGGGGGGGAGGGGCATGGCGACCCTAGGCGTGGTTCTGGGGCAAAAGCGTCGGTTGTTAACTACTGTCGCAAGTGAGTGCCATTTCTTGTGCGGTGGAAACACAATGATTGTTCGGTGTTCGCCGGACGCATGTTCACTTCACTTTAACTGCCCGAAGTATGTAGGACAGCCATCGCTGATGTGTTTTGCATGAACTTGGCAACAACTTGTCCTGATTTGCTTGAAGTTTTGGCCCGGTTCCGAGCACAAGCGCGGCACAAGGTAGGCTCAAGGCTTCAACAGTAGCAAGAGCGTGGGCAAACGATCGCTTACAGGAGTGTCACTTTGCAGCGGCCGCCTGATGGAACTGCTTCCTTTCGGATTCTTGCGCGGCAGGTCCTTGGTCAAGCTTGGCAAGCTCAACTGACCAGACTGGAGATGGAGCTTCGGGTCATTTTAGCTGATCTTCAAGAGTGTGCGGCTCCTTGTGGTCTAGATTGAAAGAAATAGTGGACGATCATGTTTTGATGATGGCTGGACTCCTGCATGAGCCAGGCAGTCTCGGTGAGCGCGATGGGTGAGGATACTCCAGAAAGTGCCACGCACCACCGCCCCCCCCCCCAAGGGAGAGATTGTCTTGCGCCCCTGGTTTCAGGAGCAGGCAGCACGGGCTCAGTTGAGCGGGTGTGCTTATCATGCCCCCCCCAGGGAGAGATTGTCTTGCACCCCTGCCTGGTTTAAGGAGCAGGCAGCGCGGGCTCAGTTGAGCGGGTGTGCTTATCATGCCCCCCCAATGCAATCCTGGTTGAAGGAGCAGGCAGCTCAGTTCAGCGGGTGTGCTTATCATGCCCCCCCCCCAAACCTTCCCCCCTCAGGAAGAAAGAGACTGTCTGGCGAAGTTGTCGCAAGTGAGTCAGGTGGATTGTAAAGCGCATAGTCGCAAGTGAGTCAGGGTTCAGTCGCGAGTGAGTCAAATTAGGTGAACTCGCAAGTGAGTAAAAACTTGTGTCGCAAGTGAGTGCTTCCCCTTGGGGCGCATTGCGCAGTTTCCACTGCTTTTTCGAATGGCCCGCAATGTTTCCCCATGGCGATGTTCTCTTCGAAAACCCAAATGCAAAAGTGAATTGAGAGGCTGTAGTCGTGGGAAGAGCAGGCGGGCCCGGTCCGAATGTGCATCCCCGACGCAGAAATCCAATATACCATGTTGTCATTGTAGCTCTCGGGGAAGGGATCTCCCAAATAGATTACTGGCGACAAAGTTACTCCCACTAATCGAGCAGGCCATACTGCGTCTGTGCTGTGTGCCTGATGGCATCCATGGGCCGCGATTTGCGATTGGGCTAGGTGTTTGGCGATGCTCGTTCTTTGCTTGCTAGTTGACATGCTGAGCCTGTGCTCAGTATTGACAAGTGGTGCAATGACGATTTATGGTGTGCGCTCGGATCGAGCCTTCTCTATATGGGCATCACATGCTTGACAGGCGTGTGAAACGGCAGGCAACAGTATGTGGGCATCATCTGCTTCCTGAACCGCTGATGCTGCTGGTCCTGGTGATGGAGCTTTCAAAATGCGGCGCGAGGGGCTCCCGCGCCCAGACAGTGCGTGGTCGACCATGGTATGCGGGTCGCCGCGCCTTGTATCACATCACTCTTAAGACAAATCGTCTCTTCCGGAGCTGGCTTGTTCATTGGCGTGGCTTGCACGTGCTGTTTTTTTGTCTGCCGGAACCAAGTTGCATTTCGTGTTGTTTTTTTTCGTTTTTTCGCCGCAGCTACATCATATGATCACATGGATCACTCTTAAGCTCTACAACAGAACGGCAAGTATGTTCCCATAGTTTGCCTGTTCTCCACATTTTTATTTTTTTATTTTTTCGATGCTGTTCTCTCAAGGTGTTCCTCCCCATGCTTCCCATGACTTCCGATCCTATGTGTTCGCATATGTTCCGATTTTTCCCATGGTTTCTATTTTCTTTCTCCGCTTCCAACGTCCCCCCATGATTTCACAATGTTTTTCCATATGTTCCCGTGATTGATTTCTATTCAATGTTTCTCCTTTTGATTTTGTTTTGTTTGCAATGTCCCCGATGACTTGTCACATTTTCCGCAACACACAAATAGGGACTTTTCATTTGACCGGGGGAAATGGTACACCCAGGTATTTACGCAACCGTGTCCCGCACACCCTTCAAAGGGAAGACATGTTCTTTTTTTTGTCTTAGGCTTGGCGCACCGAGAACAGCTTCAGGTCAGCTTCAACGACCAGCCCAACCGCGTCCAGGGCCAGGGCTCCAAGCTGCAGGTGGAGATCTCCTCCACGCAGGAGGCGCGCTTGCCGCGCACGCGTAAGCCTTCGCGAGCCGTGCCTTCAGGGAGTTGCTGGAGGTGGAAGGCGTCGAAACAAAAAAGAAACACAAAATACGGGATCCACGAACCAAAAAGGGGGAATTTTACGAAAAGGGAACTAAGGGGGGAAGCAAGAAAAGGGGAAAAAGGACAGGTGTTGCCATTCATGGTGTTGTGCCAGCACTTTGCAGCGGTTCAGGACACCCATGACAGGTGCATGTGTGTGTGTGTGTTTCCCCGCATGTTTCTTTGTGTGTGTGTGTGTTTCCTCTTTGTTGGCCTACCGGTTTTCCTTTAAAAAAAGAAGAAGGGTACCAACATGTTAGAAAGGTTCATTCCACAACTTTCGGCAGGCAGCACTACAGTTGCCTCTTGCGTGTTTGTCTGATGCACTTGTTTCTTCAGGGTTGGTTGTTTGAAGGGATCAAAAGGTGAACCCTTGTTCCCTCACACGGAAAAGACAGAAACAACAATCTACGGAAATGGGCCTGGTGAGTGGGACTCGCAAATGTGAGATCCAGACTGCCATGTGACCAAATATATTCACCGGAGGTGTTGAGATGGCAACCTTCAAATTTCAGTGTGTGTGTGTGTGCGTCTGTGTGTCTGTATTTTTGTGTGTTTGTGTGTCTGTGTGTCTGTGTGCGTCTGTGTGTCTGTATTGTTGTTTGTTTGTGTGTCTGTGTGTGTCTGTGTGTCTGTGTGTCTGTGTGTTTGTTTTTCACGTGCCCCTTTAAAACCCAAAACAAGAAAGGAAAGAACAGAAGCAAGAACGGCAATCAAGGTTTCAGCACCAAACCAGGTTTTCTTTGTTACTTTTTTTTCAGGGCGCGCGGTTTTTTTCTCGAGAGGTCTGTGCTTTCCTCGGGTTTTCCTTTAGGTGTCCCCTAGGACCTGGGCGCCTGGCTGCGGCGCCGGGAGCGGCAGCTTCAAAGCCGGGTGCAGGCGGAGGCTGGAGATCCGGATGTGGGGGGATGATCTAAATGTGGTCCCACTTCCTGAGTTAATGATCTTTAAACTTTTTGGGAAGACCATTTTAGTGGTAAATATAAAGTTTGAACTTTTATGGCCATCCACTCAGCTGTTGGGACACATTTGTTCATGTTTGCTTATTGTGGTTTAGTGGGAGATCCCCACTGAACGGCTAGAATTGAAATGTTTGCTATGTTTGCTCCCAACGTCAACCAAGTGACCCCATACTGTGGGTGGAGGAATCCATCTCGCACCATTCAGAAACCCGGGTTTCTGATGATTCCCTAACGTAAATACCAACAAGCAATGATGCCCCATGTTTTCCAATATCCCCACAAAGGGCAAAACTTGTTGGTGCCATAGGCAGGGAAAATAGAAGTGGAATAATGTTGGAGAGTGGTTAGCAAAGGCCCCCCCCCCTCAAACGAATCGGGGGGGGTCAATAGCGAAAACCCCAAGAACAAAATGGGGGTCAGACTGGGACCTGCCTGAGTTCCAGTAAGTACTGTTTAGAATTGGTGTAGTATTGGTTTAGTATTCCTTTGAGCTGGCTCACTACGGTTTAGAATTGGTTTAGTGTTAGTTCAGATTCTTTTCAGTTGACTCACTACAGTTTAGAATTGGTTTAGTATTGGTTCTTCTTCTTGGCAGGCTGCCCTGGCCATTTTTTTTCACAATTCCCTACCCTTAAACAAACTGCATTATTGCCTTCCTGGGGGTTCCGTGTGCCACCCCCTTGAAAATTTGCCAGGGTGCATCTTCTAGAAAAGGGATTGATAAGGAATTTTGTGGTTTGGGACAGGAAGCAATCCAGGTTTTCTGGACATTTCTGGCTGGACTCAAACGGTTCAACCCTCAAAAATAGTCCTTTCTTGGAAGGGAACATATTTTCGGGATTTCGGGCCGATTCTTTTTCTGTAATACCGACCCTTTTTGCTTTTCAGGAGAGTGAATAATTTAGATTAAAATAAAAATAAAAATCTGTATTCACTCCCCTTATACTAACCGCTATCTAACTTTTCCCTTATCCCATCCCTTGCTGGTGGTTTCCTTGAGGGACTCCAGTTTAGGGTTTGGGGCTTGAGCACTATGCTTTCAGGTTTGAAGGTTGATCACATGGGCATGATGTACCTTCATGGAGCCCCGTGTAGCTTCATGTAACTGGAGGTTCACCTGAAACCGTTTCGGTGCGAGCTGTTTATGGTTCATCCTGGTTGATTTTTCCCATGGCCCCCAAATGACCATATGTAACGGGTGAACGGGGTTCCGTTTTTTGTTGTTGTTTTTTTGTTTTTTGTTTTTTTCCCCGGTTTTTTCTCCGAGGAGTCCATGTTCGTGGCTTTCACGACAACACGAAGGAACCGAAGCTCACTTGAGGGGGTGGCCCTACTTTACAACCAATATGGGACATGTGGAGGGTTGAACAATATTCCGCTCGGTCCCCAACTGACCATGGGTAAATGTTCCCGTGTGTGTTGTCCAATCCAAGTAGGTGTGGGTTAAACATAGGTACCCAACATGGAACCCTGGTAAATGGAAGCAAGGACATTCAAACCTGCGGTCCATATCCTGGTGGTATGATGTCGACCCAAATAGACAGTGGGATGTGGGATTTGCGACATGGCCGTACTCACCCACCAAAATCCGGAAAAGTCGGGGACTCGCGTTTTGTTTCTCCAAGCACCCAAGTACTTGGTTGTTCGGCCAAGTAGGATGTTGGCAACCTAGGTCAGGTGATAACCTGCTTCAAAGTCCCCGTAAGCGGAAATGACCCTCTTAGCGGGTTATAGCTGGGTAACCACTTACCAACTTGGCCGACATCCAAGTAAGTGGGAAGCCAAGGCAACATGCTTCATCAACTGTAAATACAGTAGGTTAGGTTTGTAGGATCGGTGTTCTATAGCTGCTGTTCATGTCAAGTGCGAACTGAACGAGTGGCTTGCTAGAAACAGTGGTGATTTGCCCGCTTTGGACGGCCTCAATAAGTGCAGACCCATCCCTCGCATGCGCCTTGAGCTGAAACTTGACGCAAGAGGTATCTACCTGATGTTTTGTTTCAACTGGACATTTCATGCCCACCTAGAGGGGACCCCCCGCCCGCAATCCTTCCCCTCCGAATTGTGGAATGATTGAGCGGGAAGATAGGGATCCCGATGATCATACAGCAAATCGTTTAGCAAAACAATTAAAACCATGGTAGAGCGAAAATAACCAACACAACTCAAATGAACCCAAAGAAAACATGTTGTCATTGGAACGACTGAACATATCTTTTGGTCTTTGCACAGTGATGGTTTCCCCGCAATTGACAAAGGGGCACCCGTTGTCCCACTGTTATAACCATGTGTTTCAGTTCTGACATTTGCCAATCATTGTGTTTTCGATGAGCTACAACGAAGAACATTGCTACCTCAAATACCAGAAGATCCCCCTTCCAGCAGTACTTCAGCAGTCTTTTCTCGCATAGGTAGCTGCGCAGCCTTTCGGCACAAGCATTTGCAGGCCTTTGGTCTGTGATGCTCCGCGGAATATGTTACTTCCCAAGCTTAGAAGTGCTTGCCAACCCGGCATGTCCTTCTGGATGCAACGAAGGCATTTCTTTCCTGTCCGATCTATGATGGGCAAGTCGTCTGATGCTCGATATTGGGCCCTGGTGGGAGTGTCCAGCTTCTCCTACGCTGGCGCCTGGTCCGGAGGGATGCCTTTGACGAATCCGTCGTCTGCTTTGCATTTTGCAAGTGCAAATCAAGGGTCCTACTGTGGATGGACGAAATCCTGTACCACTTTGAAACCGTGAAAATCCAATGTTTGTTGGTATTTACAGGGGAATCATCATTCCAGGGTTTCTTGAGTGGTGCAGGATTTCGTCCATCTACGGTATGGCCCTGATGTGCCTGGACTTCCACATACACGCGTTCTATGGATCGGAGCCTTCTTCCAGTTGGTTTCCTTTTGCTTGTTTGCCACAAACGACCAGCCAAAGAAATGGTCCTTTTATTGGCACTTTTCATTGCTTCGGCAAAGTCACCATCTTTGGTTGTTCCGTTGAAGTGTAAACCATTCCAAAAAAAGATTTGAACGACACCCAACTGTGGATAGGTGCCTGCTACTTCTTCTTTTATCACACGCAAGCCTTTGGGCATGGCTACTACCAGAGGCTTCGAGCCCAAGTCACCTCCTCCTCAGTACACCAGCGCTTGCAGAATGAGCTGCAGCTGAGCGGCGTTGTTGCGGCACCTGAGTTGCAAGTGACGATCCCCCCTCCCCCCCCCGACTTCCCCCGCTTCTTGTACCTTTCTTTCGGCAAGGTTCCCTGAAGTCGGGCAAGGTCACTGGATGTCCAAGCTGATCGATTCAACGGCTTTCATCGAATGAATCGCCGAACTTGTGGAGTTTGGGTCGCTGCAAAAGGCGGAAGGCAGGCAGGGACTGAATTCAGCCAATGTGAGACCTGTTTTCCTTTTTGCTTGGTGGGTAGCCACGGCCTTTTTGTTTCCTCCCGAAAAATGCACTCAGCTGAGGCGCTGATGACGACAGCCGCCTTCTCCTCGTTTCGGCAGCCGCCCGTTGCGCCGCAGAATATCCCGAGGTTGCCACAGCTCTGTGGCTGCTGCGTGGCTATTTGGGCAGATGACCACATGGCTGTGGGTCAAAACCGTTTTGGGATCTCATTTTGGTTGGTTGGTGAATTCACCACCCATTTTAGAACCTATTTGGGATGTTCACTGGGGGTCCGAGATTTTGACCCATGGCCACATATCCTTTTCCCCCCCCAATACCCTCTTACCACCAATCATGGAAGTGAACAGGAGGTCTGTTGAAGATGACAGTAGCCTTCCAGATCCCTTCTTCGCCCTTCCATGATTGTTGAACAGAGGGTACGATTCTGTTAGGCGGTTGTGCTTGCTGATAATGAGGCATCAGGTTTCTTTAGTAGGTAATCCGGGGTTTAGCCCTCGTGTCCCGTGCGAAACTAAGTTGGTCATCAACCTGAGGAAACTGGTTTGCATTGGGTTTAGCTACCCCGTTACCCTCCCACTAACATGGAAGTGCATAGACCCCTGTGGAAGGACTACTTTCCTGTTGGAAAGGGTGTGTGTGTGTGTGTGCACTTTCATGTTAGTTGTAGTGTTCCGTGTTAAGAATACATGTTGTTTAATTGTCTTTTTGTTGGTTGTAAAGAGAATCTGTCACTACAGGGCATAGTTATTAGCTTGCTCCAGATAACTTACGCAAATGGAAGCGGTGAGGCTAGAACGAAAAGTCAATGGGTGAAACCGGCGCTGCTCAGGTTTTTTTGTTTTCCCGTGCACAACCCATTGTTGCATGGTTGCAAGACAATTCGTTGCTTTTTGGTACGACATGTGTTTATGTCAAGCTTGATCACTGTTTCCCTTCCAACCAGCAACAAGTAAATCTTGCTGGGCAACAATGTTAAGCTTGTTGTGTCAGTTCGACCCCGAAAATGTCTCTGGGGCTAGGTTTCATGGGCCTGGGCATGACTCTGAACTTCTTTGCCCTCATCGTGGCGCTGCACATGCAGATGAAGCTCAATGAATACGAGGACGGCGCTGAGTTCCTGCGGATGCATGAGACGCTTGGAAGCGAGCCGATGGGGGGATGGCATGCGGTTGAGATCAGGTACACCCGCAGGGGTAGGGAAAAGCAACACAGACAATGTGTGATGTGTTTCACGGAACCTGACAGGGGCTCCCTTTAAAACGAGAATGGTCTTTCAGTCCCTCTGTCAGGTTCCATGTTAATTGGGAGGAGGGTACTTGAAAAGAACGTACACAGAGATGAATGACTGATGGTATTGCGATTTCATCCATTCGCCTTGATCATCATGAACACCTAGAAACATCATGAGCCGAATGCAGTTCTGCCATCTTGGAAAGCCAAGCCGGACCTTCCAATCGAACCAGTGTTTCAGGCACATGTTGCAGTGCCCGTTAGTTGGTAGCGTTCAACGCTGACCAGAGTTTCTACTGCTCCAGGCAGCAATTATGAGCAGTGTGTTGGCTAGTTAAGAAGTGATAAGCTTCAGTAGCTGTGGGGGCAGCCCATTTTCCGAGCAAACGCTTATCCTGATCCATTCGTGTGAGGTCTTGCGCCCAACTAATTATGTTTGCCCTGTCTGCTTCTGAGAACCCCTCTGCCATGGCTTGCTTCAGCAGGTTGCCCCAACTCTGACCCAAAACCATTGAGATTTGAACCACAGGGTCATGACTCCAGTTCCACGAAAGATGTGGCTTGGCTCCGAATCAGCTTCCCTTTGGCGCGACACTCGGTACAAGAAAGCTTTTGTGTTGACACACCTTCTTCCCCCACCATGGTACAAGAAAACCTCACCTTGTTCCCCTCCCGCGGAAATATGTTTTGTTTCTCCCGAGGACGGTGCTGCCTCTGCACAAGCGTTTGCTCTTCGCCGGGGGCCTGGCGCTGTGTCTGGGCAAAGTGGCGCTCAGCTTCGCGCTGTACAAGGCCCCTGCGGCGCTGCTCACGGCGGCGTCCCTCACCTCAGGCGGGTTTTGCTTTAGGGGATGGAACCGCTTTGGGTCCGACTGGGCGGCGTTCTTTTTCTTCTTCTTGTTCTTCTTATCTTCCATTTGCTTCGGAATATGTGGTTTTGTTCTCGCTTGTTGGTGTTGAAAGGGAATCTAGCACTTCGGAAAAGATGTTGGCTTTTGTCCAGGGGGCTTATTCAGATGTGTAAGTCTTTGTTTTTGGAATCGGACCCCCGACATGGTGGCTTTCCTTGTGGTTGTCCTCCAAACCAAGCCTTGGAACCTCGAAAGGGCCCTTTTTGAGGTCCAAGCCCTTCCAGGAGCGATTCCCGAAGGTGTTACCGTGAGGGCCGTCACGCATGATTTACAACCCATTTGGAGTGGAGTAAGGTCTCACTACTTTCGCGCTCGAATTGGGGAGTGGGGGGGGGGCCTTTTACAAGGGACGACTCTTGGAAGGAAATCGACCAATTTGGCGGGACCTTCTTGGTAGAATGAGCCCTTAGCAGCCTGCCCAGAGGCATTATTGCTGACTGCTGCTTCCATTGCACGTGGAAACGCATGTGCATCCACATCTACCGCAAGACATCTGCCTTTTCGGTGTAGGGCTGAACGATGGCCACCAGTTCTGCATTTCCTCACTTCCCGAGTTCTTGGACGAACATTTCGAGAAGACCATTTCAGTGGCAAGCCGAAAGTTTTTGGTTACTCTTTGTGGCCAATCCACTGGATCGGAAGAATCCACTGGATCGGAAGGAAGTGAGTTCATGGGGGGATTTCTGGCTTGCGGTTCCTCGTCCCTTCCGATTCGAAGCCGAGGCGGCTTCGCCTTGGCATGGCTCATTCGAGACATGTATCGGCGGGAGTGCCTGGAAAGAGCCGTGAGAACGAATCGGGGGGCGCAGTTCGTTGACTCAAAGCCAGAGGGTCGTCTTGGTACCTCCTGAGGATGGCTTTTGGGGGCTAAGAAGGGGTCCACGTATTTGTTTAGGTATTTGGACCCTGAAGGAAAGGTGTTACTCGAAGTGGACGGTGTTGCATGGTATGTGTTGTGGCTCAAAGTTGGCGTCGTTTTCACTTTTGATTCATGTAGAGGGAGTTGGTTGGGGCATGACAGAGCATGTTGATTGGTCAGAAAAGGCATTTGGATCCCCACCCCCAAAATCTGCGAGGGTAAGGACTGCTGGTTCTCCCCATCATCCGCCCATAGATTTGTGCACCAATGGAGAACAAATCAGGAACACCGGCTCTTCCTTACTTTTGGGGACGACCATTTTAGTGGCCAGCAGGAGTCCCAGTGTTGGTCGGCAATGGGTAAGAGTGCGAGCGGCACCGAATTCAATTCCTCGTGACTGATCGGCAGGAACCCAACAAAACACCTGGATCGTTCTCACAGAAATGGTCTTCTAGTTGGCATTTGGGCCCCTGGGGCAAGGACCTGTAGACACAGCTTGTTGCATCATGAGCTTTGATACTTGCCACATGCAGCGAGCAGCATGGGACCATTGGAAGGCTTCGGACCGCAGAAAAACCGCTTTGAGGTTCCAAGATGATCTTCCATTTCTTAAGAGTAGTGTTGATTTGCCTCTGCTGGTTTTAAGGGAATCATTGGGACTTTTTTTTTGCAGGGGACTTGAGCAAATAAAGTCTCCGGGTGTGGCAGAAGTTGTTCATAGTTTGTTTTTTGGTTGTTTGAACATGATGCATTTCGCAGCTGCTTTGGCGCAGGCTTGAACCAGGCATTTGATTTGAGACGACATGCGTGATTTTCAGCAATACTACTCTACTGATTTGTTGGAAGCACAAGGAGACCGGAGACCGGGGGTCTACCACAAACGCCCCCTGCTGACATGGAACTTTTGCTGCCTGGGACGCGGGCGCACGAGTGATCGGGGACCAGAATTTCCTGCACAACCAAGGTAGCTCACAGATACTCACACAGAACCAGCGGGACTGACCAACATGTTCACCTGGACCCTCAAACCACCCATAAAAACGGAATTCACTCCCCATAATTTGGGGGCAATAACCAATTCTTAAGGCATTTATCAGGGCCAGGCAGTTCGCCCGTGGCATAGTGCAGCGTTGTCCGCCAATGTGGGCGCTTCAGAGAGGCTTTCGCTTTTCCGGCACGGGCCCTGTCCGGAGCGCGGCATCGCTGAGCGACTCTATCAGCTCGCCTCACACGAGATATTGGGCGCTGGTGGGGGTCTCTAGCTTGTCCTATGCTGGCGCCTGGTCTAACTGGCTTGACCTTGGAACTTGGGATGATCCCACTTCCCCGGTGGATTCCACCCCTTGATTTCTTTGGAAAGAGGGTCCCTTTAACGTCCACCAACACAATACAAGCTGTTGTTTGTTTTTGTTTCCCTTTTTTTTCTCGGGGGTTTGGAGTGATGGATTCCCACAAACGAGCAGCAGGCATAGATGTCTCGTTGGACTCCCACGGTTGGCAACAGGGAGAACTCAAACGGTTGGTGTCCTCTCGTTTTGTCAACTATTGACTTTGACTTTTCAGAACTGATTTTGGACTTTTGACTTTTATTCTGATTGCCAATCTAATTGAGAACTGAGTCTGAAAAGTCAAAGATCGGGCTCACCGACTCCAGGGGGAAGCAAGGCTTTCCACGGACCTCTACTAAGGTGATCCCATTTGGTGAATGAGTTGTTGTTGTTTTTTTCTGCGCGGACATGATTATCAGACCAGTTGGCATTAAAGTCTCCGATGTGTTCGCTGACATGGTGGCTTGGTTTCCTTGTGTTTTCCTACCAGCAAATCAAGAGGGCTTTTGGCTCTTTGAACTTTGCTCACCTTCGATGTTTGGTCCAGCTTGTCATTTGGATAGGTGCCTGCTATTTCTTCTTTTACCACACCCAGCCTTTTGGGCAACGCTGCTACCAGCGGCTTCGTGCCCAAGTAAGTGCCAAGGACAGTCCAAGTGACTCGTTGCCAAAGCGGGGTTTATAAGCGGTGAGCCTGTTGCATCCCTAGGAGCATGTGCTACTGTCCCTAGACTGATAGTATGTGAAGATGTTGTAGAGCCGTCCATTTCTGAATTCCCTTACACGGGTGTGTCTTTTTCGTGGACCCCCAAAATGACCAGTTTCCCTCATTATTTCCCTCTAAAGCATCAAACCCGGGCCTCAAAATTAAATAAATTAAAGACAAGATACACCTGTACTCGTATGACATCCATGCCCAAAATCTGGGATCAGCGTCTTTTGGGGGTACTCACAAAAAGACGAGCGCCCCCCCGCTTCTTTCGGAGGTATCGCTGTAAAGACGGGCCACCCCGGGCCCAGGAGGTGCACGGCCGCATGCAGAACGAGCTGGAGCTCAGCGGCGTGGTGGCGGCCGTGATGACCTCCGCGGCCTTCAGTTCCTTCCGGGAGCCCCCGGTGCCCAGTAAAACCATGCCGAGGCTGCCACAGCTTTGCGGCAGCCCCGTGGCAGGAGCTTTGGTTAGTTGTGGTGTGTTTTTATGTTTATCAAATTTGCTTTGATTAAAAACATATGAGTTTGCTCATTCCTTGCTTCATTTTTGTTTTATTTGTCGTGTGTGTTTCATTAAATAATGTGAAGCATTGCTATTTAAAGGTCTTAATGAAAGTTTCAATAGGCTCCCTGCAATCGCTGGCGTCTCCATGCCTAGACTGAATAAAGGGCTTGTGTTATGTTTTGTTTATTGTTGTTGTTGTTCTTTTCTTCTTTTTTTTTGTGTGTGTGTGTGTGTTTGTGTGTGTGTGTGTGTGTGTGTGTGTGTGTGTGTGTGTGTGTGTGTGTGTGTGTGTGTGTGTGTGTGTGTGTGTGTGTGTGTGTGTGTGTGTGTGTGTGTGTGTGTGTGTGTGTGTGTGTGGGGGAGAACCCTTTTTGGTGGTTTTAAAGGGGAACCAAAAGGAAAACCACCATTTTGGGGTGTCACCTGAAAGAAGACACACCTATGTTTCTTTCTGTGCAGCCCAGTGGGCCAAGAAAAGGTTCCGGCTTGAGAAAAGGTTTAGGCAAAAGAAGGCAGTTCCAGCCCTGCAAGTTGGCAAACCTGCGGCTTTGGATGAATGCATAAGATGGGTGTTTGGATGTGCTATTTGTTCGTCCTGATGTTGTTTATGTGCGGACATTGGTCGTGAACCATGGCTGGTGAAATGATATCATGTAGTATGATACTGTTCAGCAATCTGTGGCGCACATGTGAGACGGGACGAAGTCTCGTAGAACAACCCCCCCCAAAACAAAAATGTGCAGCTCTCCTAGGTTCGAACCCCAACCTTGGGCGTTGCCCAGACCACTGATGGTAGAAAATGGGATCAGTGAATCCCCCTTGCTCGTTGCGGCCCAGGTTTCATGGGCTTGGGCATGACTCTGAACTTCTTTGCTCTCATCGTCGCTTTGCATATGCAGCTTACTCGTGAAAAGCGCATTGACCTTGCACCCTCCAAGGGTTGTCCATTTTTCCTGAAAAGCGGCCATTTTGGGTACCAATTAACAACCCTTGGGTGCTAGTCTTGACCTTTGGGTCGATTTCTCGGCTTAGCTCCATGTTTCGTTTTCCGGAAAAGTTGCCCCCCTTGGCCCCGAGTGGTCCGAGTCCAGGTCCTTGGCAAGTGAGGCAGATGAAGCTCAATGAGTACGAAGACGGCGCGGAGTTCCTCCGGGTCCATGAGAGGCTTGGCTGAGATCCAAACGTGGGGGCCCAGGCAGCTGCCACCGGGCGCTAGAGACGCGGACTTTAAGGGAAAGCGACACTTCACAGAGGAGGGATGTGGCCATGCATAACCTATGGCTCCATTTCGGGTGGATGAACATCGATTTGCCACCTATTTTGATGTTCACCAGGGGTACAGGGTTTTGACCCACAGCCATGTGACCTGCCCCATTAAGGCTCTTTTCTTCGCCCTGAATTTCCGGTGAGTGAATTTGTTGAGTTCGGAAGGTCAAAGGAATCGCAAGACAAATGATGGTTTGTGCTGCGGCCCTCAAGCCTTTCAGATTTTGAGAAGGACGGTGGTCAGTTGAACTAAACCCATGAGGCGTGCTTCGACTGCTATGGCCTGAAGCCAACCAACTGCTTAGATTTTGGATCAGTTCTAAGCGCGTCTTGACAGCCACTTCATGGCCACTTGATGTTTCATAAAATGACACAGTCACGCAACGACGCGAACGAACAACGGCAGCCAATGAACACTGTATGTGGCGTATAAACGCATCCTAGGTCCCCCAGTGCCCTTTTACCCTTTTATTGGGGGAGGGTTCCACTACTGAGCAACAATTGGGTACCCTTATTCTAACCTCTCCACTGGAGGACCTAGACACATCTTTTTATTTTTTGTTTTCTCGCCAAGGACGGTGCTGCCTTTGCACCGGCGCCTGCTCTTCGCCGGGGGCCTGGCGCTGTGTTTGGGCAAAGTGGCCCTGAGCTTCACGCTCTACGAAGCACCCGCGGCACTTCTCACGGCGGCGTCCCTGACGTCAGGCGGAGGTTTTGGGGTGGGCGGGTGAGCGAGGCCACCTTGCTGTGGTTGTCAAAACCAATGGGATCCCATTTTGGTGGGTAGGTGAATTCACCACCCATTTTAGAACCTATTTTAGTGGGGATTGGGATGTTCACTGGGGGTACGGGGTTTTGACCCATAGCCACATTGGTGAACCGACCACTCGAGGGCGCCAAGAGGGGAGCCAAAATGAAGGGAGGGCGCCATTCACGAACCAAAATGGAGGGCGAGCCAACGGAGCTATAGATGTTTTAGAACCCTCCAACTTTGCCCTTGGCTTTGTGTGAACTAAAGCCAGCAATGGGAATGAAGAAGCCACCAGGGCCCAATAAGGCCTAATAGCTCCCACTGGCTGAGAAAGCAGATGAGCAAACCACGCGCAATGCAAAGTTGCGGCAATTTGCTGAATCCAGGGCAGTTGTCAAGACAGCAAGCGCTTTGCCAGCTCAATCACAATTTGAGTCTTTGGTGTGTGGGCGAAAGAAGAAGTGCGCAGGTGCCCAATAGACGCCGGTGCCCAATAAGGTCCAACAGGGCCCAACAGGCCCGAATAAATCTTTGCTGCAATCAATACTTGGTGGCTCCCAGCCATCCTGCAAGGTTTTTTGCCTTTTAGTGTTTCGTGGGGAGTTCCATTTAACCCACGAAAAGTCAAACTTTTGGCGGGGGATCTGAGGACAGCCCAGAATGGTTCAGGGCAGACTTTGAGCCTCCCTTTGCTGGCGCTTCGTTTTCGGTCACGACACAATCGTACGTGCGTGCGGGCGAAATCGGAGAGCCACCAAAAGAATTGGATTCTTTTAGGCTTCCCTTGAAGGCATCCAAAAGGGGTACCCCAAAACAAACACAGAAACCACACATATGGCTACGAGCTTTAACCGTTGAAACACCCCTTAGACATGGCTGATGGACATCGATTCCCCCACCAACGGGTCGCCTCAAATTGACGACGAAGCTAAGAATTTCTGTGCAAGTCCTCCAACATGGAACCGCCAACTCTGGCTGGGTTTCTTCTATCCAAACGTCTGGTTCCCATGTTTCCCGGAAGAAGAACAGTACGGGTTCCTACGGCATGGGTTTGCGAGTCTTATTGGTATCTCGTTGTGGCCAAAAGCGTCCCTGCTTGTAGCGCAACCCCGCCTGAAACCAGGCACTCAAAATTCAGAGGGCCCGGTCCCCCGTTTTTCAACAATTTGCCTATGGGGTTGAAAGGACTTCTTTCTCACTTCATGCCAATAAATTCCTTTTTGATAGAACCATGACTACAGTCCACATACCCTCCCACCAATCAACATGGAACCTGACCGGGGAACACTTTAAAGGAAAATTGTCTTCCAGGACCCGTGTGATTTACGGCTATTTCAACAGAGTGGCCGACCGGTGTAATTTACGGTGTAATTTACGGTGTAATTTACGCGTACAACTGGTTTTTTGCAAGATGGGAAACAAGCAAATGTCATGTCTGATTGAAAGTCAACAGGAGTTCTTCTGGCCTGATGGGAATTATCTAAACCTTGATAATGGGGATCTTTGTAGAGCCAACGGGCAATGGGCTGCTCAGTGTTTTCGGCATGTGTTTGTTTGTTTCTTTGTGTGCATTGCCTTGCTTGTTTGTTTGGTTGCTTGCTTGTTTTGTTTTGTTTTGTTTTGTTTTGCTTTGTTTGTTTGTTTGTTTGTTTGTTTGTTTGCTTGTTTTTGCGTTGCTTGGGTGACTTTGCAATGATTTAGTCCGGAGGGCTGCTATGATGAAGATGCACGCAAGGGGCGTCACGCATGGATTCCTCCTGCCCCCCTGCGAATTCGGTCATTGCAGGCGGCTTGGGTTTGGCTTGGCTGATCCGAGAAGAGCTGGACCTCCCAGAGTGGCCAAAGCTGCAAACGAGAGGCGCACGGAGACTTGGATGGAAGCCGGCCTGTGTGTGCGTGTGTGTTTACCTATCCATGTGTCGATGCTGTGTGGTAGTTTCTGTAGCATACTTGGGGTCAGCATAACGCATCTTACTTGTTTGCTTTGTTTATGTATAGACTTCCGGGTTTAAGTATGTAATTATTGATTTTGTATGATGATGGGCAATTGCATGCTCCAGTGGCAGTTCAACAATAGTTGTGTCCCTCTTTTGCAGATTTTAGAACAGGCTGTGACTGGTTTATTGAGATGTACGTCACAGGTAGTCTCGTGCGCATTCTTCCGTTTCGGGCATTACTCGTTTGGGTTCAGGAAATCTCAAGATTGACCTGGATTCGGCCACCAGCCGACATCGCCTCGAGCTGCGCCCAAGAAGTGGTGGCGGGGCCCCACCGGATGGAGTGCATCGATCGCTGCCCATCGCAGCTCGTGCAGTCGCGCGTCGGGCCGGATCTGTGCAACCTGTGATGGCCTGGCACTTCGAGGAAAATATTCGATTGGATGGGAGCTGACGAGATCTTATGAGTCGGGGGTGTGGTGTTTTGGCATTGTGAGGATGTGTGTGTGTGTGTCGGACATCGTGATGTTTGGGTTCTTTGGAGACATTGCTCGAGCCTGTGTTATGAGTGGGCGCTTATATTGTAAGGCGTCTCTGCTGGCTATTCATCGTTAGGTGGCCAGACAACTAAAATGTCATGGAGCCAGTCCTGAGTCCCCGGCAGGGAGTCTCAGTTGCCCAGTCCGCTGTTTGGGATTGGGTTGGTTTTCATTTGCATTCAACCAAAGACAGGGTCTCTTTTCCTCGTGGGCAACCACTATGCAAGAAGTGCCACAGCGAGCCGTGGCTAGCTCAAGCTCTGGGACTGCAAAACCATGCCAAAACTCTGGGGGTCCCTATTGGGAACGTGCATGGAGTCATGAAGCTCTTTGCTATATATGATCCTAGGCTTTTCCAGGGATGCTATGGTATGTGGTTGGTTTACCAGCACGCATTTGGGAATCACTTGCGTGATGCGAAACACGCGCAACTATCATGGGATTGATCTTTCCTGGAACCTCCATCGTAGCATAAATTTCTGCCTCCCCCCTTGTTCGATACCAAAATTGACTCGACGTAGCACTTTTTGCCTCCCATTCTCTTCCGAGCGCTTTTTGACGATTCGGGCAGAAATCCCATTCGGCCGTGTTTTCTTCTTCCCCATGGTCAAGTTGCCGCCAAAACGGGCGCACAAATGTGCAAAAAAAGTGCAAAACGAGCGCAAATCGGCGCAAAAAAGCGCAAACGAGCGCAAATTCAAAAAATGCTACGAATCGCAGGTAGCAAATTGCATTTGCGCGGATATCTCGAGCACTTTCTGTTAAAACAAGCGTTTTTGTTGAGAAGAACGTGTCACGAGCAAAAATATTTCGTAGCAAAAATTAAGGTAGCAATGGAGGCTCCAGGTTGTGTTGATGGACTGGAAAGATAGCGGCAAGTTGGTTGGCCCGAAACTGGCCGATGTATCATAGATCAGCAAGCCCCCACACCCAGGGGCTTGAACACACAGCACGGAGTGTGGATATGACATGATATTTTGAGCAAACATCTTAATGAGCCATCGTGCCCTTCTGCTTCAATCAAGGGAGGCCGCAATGTCGGCGCGGGCGGTATGCCGCATTGTGAACATTTCGGATGAGGGCAAGGTGCATCCTGGCAAGCACTCCAGTTTGCTCTGTGTAGCGTCACAGGTTTCGGACTTTATCGAACAAGTTGTTAGATTTGGCAAATGAAGTCTCCTCTCAGCACTGACAGCTGGGTGAATATTTTCCATCTAGCGCGTCAAAGCTGATGGCTTGTGGTTCGACCTTACATTCGGTACTCTAGATGTTTTTCTTTTTGGAGCTTTCAAGCATCACATTAGTTTTCTCTTTGTAGGGTGATGTTTGACAGGGAACAGTAGGAGCATGTAGGGCTATGTTGTTTAAACACATGCCTTACCCAGCCACTCGCTAAGTAAACAACACTGGCCAGTTCAACTGTTTGCAGCTGGTTGGGGGTGGAGAGTCGAATTGTGAAGCATTTGGTACACTACTTATTGCTTGAACATCTTTGGTAAATCCGCACAAGACTAGTGGAAAAAAGCAGGCTGCAAGCCCAGAGAGAGGTGCGTTCCTTTACTGGTCCAATCGAAACCGCTCGATCTAGCCTTTGACCTCTCAATTGTTGTCTTTGTTCAGGCTGATCGCCAAATATGATAAACATTTAGCTGTTGAAGCAGTGTGGTCCGAGCCATTCCGGCTTCAAAATGAGCTTTCATTTTGCTGGGAGACTGGCGAGAATGCTGATCAAGGATTTCCTCATGGCTGTTCATTAGTTTCAGGTTTTGGAACCATCGCACTCATGTTAGGAGCTTTATGGACACTAAGACCCTAAAGTTCACCCCTCGTTCCAAGAATGGCCTTGGGACCCAATTTGAATTAAAAAAGGAAACCAAAAGCTTTTAAGGCAAGGAAAAGAGACACATCGCAATCCTCCGAGCCCTCCAAGCTGGGATGCAACTGATCCATTCACCCATGTGGCAAGGCAGCCTCCACTTTGAGCCCAAAACCTGTTTTCAAGACTCCGATGCACGTAGTTCCTCATGGCTGGAAAGGGTTTGCAGGCCGGTCTTTGCCATTTGCGGCCTCCCAGGCGAAACACAAGCCAAACATCGCAGTCCTCCGAGCACTCCAAACGCGCGAGCCCTTCTACGGGGTACTTAGACCCCTTTTTGCCCCCGAAAAGCCATCCTCATGAAGCACCAAAAAACCCGAGAAAGGCGAAAATAAAACGCGCGAGTTCTCCGCTCGACGGTTCCCAAGTCGAGGCTGGCGCCGGGGCACCACCTCTGCGAGTCCGCGCGCCTCAGCATCGAGGGCCTCGGTCGGAGCTTCGTGGCGGCCAAGGCCCGGGGCCTGTGGTCAGTGGCCGGCCGTGGCCGGCCTGGCCTGGGGCCAGTGGGGCCGCCTCAAACGACCCACAGAAAAGGGGAGTCGACTTTGGTTGGGCAAGAACCATGTTGTTTAATGGTTTTGGGATTTTGTGGGGGAATTTGGGGCAAGCTTGCCCAGTTTTAGAGGACTTTTGGGGGTTCCAGGTGCACTTTTCCGGTTGGTGAGATCCGGAGGCCACAGGTTCTTTGAGAAGGGGCGTTCCCTTTTTGAGGGTAAGGCTTTGATCGGATTTAAAAGGACACCGGCAGGTATTGAGCTCCCCCATTTTCACACACGCCCATATATGGGCTCTGGAAGGCCACCAAGCGACACAATCATGTGGGCGCATCCGAAAAGAGCCCGATTGTAATAACCCGTGCTGGTCACACGTTGATTGGTTGCTGCCTTCTTGGCCATTGTTTTGTGAGGATATAAACCCAGCAAGCCCCAGTTCCCGTTGCCTGTAAAGGAGGTTGTCAACCTGCTAGTTGCTGGGTGAAGAACTGCCCTTACAACCAGCTATTGGGGGGCCAAGGGGGCATCAACCAAGGTGTTGCTGGTTTCAAAGGGAGACTGGGCATGACTATAGTGGTGTGTAGTTGTGTTGTTTTTGGTACAACTGACAAGTTGGTTTGAGGGTCGTTCCTCAGGTGCACTTTGAGCTGACTCAGCTTCCTTTCCTTTCTCCTTGGTATGACATTGCCGGAATGACCTGAGCAGCGCCAGAAACCCTGACAATACAAAGTAGTAAAGGGGGGTGTCCTCTAGAATCCCCGCGAAAGCCAAAACGCAGGCCGCGAAAGCTTGCGAAAGCTTATCGCGAAAGTAACCAAAGAAGGTCCCGCCGCGAAAGACCCGCGAAAGCCTGCATGCTGTGTGACGCTCCGCCGCGAAAGCGTTGCGGAAGCAATTCTAAATAAACCAAAGCCCGCGAAAGCAAAACATGGTCGCGAAAGCATCGCGAAAGGGTCCGCAAAAGCAAGTTTATAGGACCGCTTTTTACACAAGAGTATTTGGCACGGCTCACCTGAATCAACCACACATTTCCCAAAGCTTCCACTCCAGAATTGGAAAATCTAGTTTCGTTCATATTTCGGCAAAGCTGCAGAAAACGGGCCAGGCACGTCTTCTTGGCTTTGAGACCTCCACCAAACACCCGCGTCGCCGGCCCCCGCGCCGCGGCAACCGCCGCGCCGCCGCGCCGCGCGAGGTCACGAGGAAGAGCTTCGAGCTCCGCGAGGTCCAGCGGGTGGCGCTCCAAAGCTTCGACGCCCAAAGCGGCGTGCTGCGCACCGCGGCCCCTCGGATCGCTTTCGGCTCGCTGACGAGGTCCTGCGCGAGGTCCGGCGCGCGCGCGCGATTTTGTGGGACGCGTCGCTTTTCTGTTTTGGGCGTGGCGAGGTCCGGGGGTGGTGGGAGCACGCTGTGTTTCATCTGATTGAAAGGGAAGTGGTGGTTGGTGTTTTTTCTTTGTGGTTTGATTCCACTTACTGTCTTCGTCATCTCCTAATTACTGTGTGTTTCACTTGCTCGTTTCTTTCGTTCCGTCGAATTATTTTGGCAAACATGGTATTTATTATAGACTCCCAAAGCAAAGGACTTCATATTGAATGGGCGTGTCTTTTTACAGGTGTTCTTTGTTCCCCACTTTGAGGCGAACCTAAATGGGCCACTAGTCAGTTAAATTCATGTTGTCAACTCAAGCACGAAGGTAAACATTTTCCAAACAACGGCTCGGACGCTCTGCAGAAGTGGTGCCATGGTCAAGTACCGGTCTGCTTGGTTGCGAATGGGCATCCCCCTTATATAAGCAATTAGATCATCACAATAATTCCTATTGAGGAACCCTGACCGACATGAGGTTCGGGCAAAACATTGCGTAGTCTATAGTCAATTTGAGAGGGAGACAGCGGGGGTGTATTAACCTTCCACAAACAGGGTACACAGCATTGATATACATGGATATGGGACCATCAGGGGACCGCACTTTTTAGCCTATGTTTCCATTTACCAGGGTTCCATTCTGGGTACCTATTCTTGACTCACGGCCATTTGAGGCACCACGCGTTTTGACCGCGGCTGACAGTTGGTGTGGACAGTTTTATCATGGCTTCTTCACGTCGGATGTCGTCTGAGGTGCCACACCGGCTGTCGAAGAATGACGACATCAGCTTGCTGGGCATGAGCCACCGTGGAGAGATCTACGATGTGTCCTACAGCATGTCCTTCAACTTGAACATTCTGGATGAGAGCGCCTGGCCTACTGCTTATTTCAGCTAAATTTCCGCGACCGCCCTGAACCCCAAAACCAGGGGAAGCTGGGGAAAGCCAAAAAAGAAAGGGTATTTTTCTGTATTACTTTATGGGGTGTGTGGTCTTTGTGAAGGGACCCACAAACGAGTGGTTCTCAACAAAAGCTCGTACCCATATATTACATGTCAATGTATGCTTATCCAGTTGTCCCTTAGGGGGGTCGGCCTTGAGGTAGATCCCTGAAGTGACCTCATTGGAGCTGCGCTGTCCCCGAGCCTTGATTTCCCCCAGTTCACAGGGTAGTTCCCCGGATGTCCTGAGTCGTGGTCACTGGGCAAGAGAGTCACTTCGATTTCAGGCGCATTCCTGCAGGATGATGCATGTTTGCCTGGCTTGTCAAGCAAAGCGACATCTTTCAAGCGGACTGGGGCCAACCCAAGCGCCAGTTGTGCTGACGTCTTCGGCTCAACCCGAGGAACCATATGCCTCGATGCCGGGCGGGAGGGCTATACACCGCCCCACACTCTGAAGCACATCGCCGAGCTTGAAGACCATGTGCTTACAGGCCCGGCAACTCTTATTCCAAAGCCCAGAAAAGAAGAGTAGATGGCATGTATTTGGGTGGAGTTGGGAGGTTTGCATACTTCTCCGTCGTGTGTTTTCTCAGGAACCCTGGGACGAGTCCTTTTGAAGGGGCCGAGTGTGTAGACTTTGCTTTCCAGAAGCTTTGGTGGATGCGAGCGGCATGGCTACCGTGTACTCCAGCAAACGCCCACTTTTCCTATTTGTCCCTGGCCAGAAGAGGCAGAACTACCCTGACACCAAGAACATGGTGGCCTGGATGGATTTCCGATGAGGGGCAGGGCTGCAACTTCACTACCCCTTGGTGAAACCTTGTCCCACGAAGTTGCAATAGGCCTGTTTTGTTGGTCCCTTATTGCGGTTGTTGATTGAATTAGTGCAATGGACGATACACATTCCGTTTGTCTTCTATATCCCAAGTACTGTGCCGTACCCTGATGAACATTGGAGCTTAGTGGTAAATCCGCAGGTAGATTGTGCAACCACCCCCAAAGCAATTACCCCACTCACCCTTGAACATCACCCAACATGCCTAGCTTTTCCCATGCAAATGTGCGGGGCGGGGGGGGGGGGGGTCTGGGGCATTCTGTCAGGAGGAGTCTACGGGTGTACGCGGATATTTGAGTGGCTAAGCCGATGGCCTAGGTGGGGCCTAGGTGGAGCTCGAGCCATTGCTTCGCCGCGCGCGTCTGTGCGTCCGTGCGCGAGGCGGCGTCTTGGTGCACCGCAGCCCCAAGCCGGTGGACCTCTCGCAGCGAGGCCAAGTAGCCCGCCTGCTATGGGCAGAAGAGGCCGGGGGAGAGGCGGGGAGGCGGGGGGAACCCGATACCACACCCCAAGATACGCGCCGGAGTCTTGGCATGTTGCACCTGGTTGTGCCTCAAGTTACTTGAATTCATGCCAGTCTAGTTTTGCCGATTCAGTCATTTGTTGCTTGCATGATGAGTAATTAGGGATGCGATTCAATAGGACGCTTTGAATTTGAATTGCTAACTTGAAGCAAGTGTTGTATGAGTGTGGTGAGTTTACAGGGTAGTTGAAAGTGCGGGGGGCTTCTCAAATTAGGTGTGGGGGTTTCCGTTCAAGCCGCCATTTAGGGGTAATCTCAGGATGTCACCCAAATGGACCCGCAGCGCCTCAGCAGGGCCCGTTTTGCGGTCTCGTCGAAGGGTGCAGCTTGTCCACTCGTCGAAACCGGCATTCAGGAGGGCGGCCGGGCGCAAGCGACGGCGCGCTGGGTTCAGAGTTTGAGAGTGGTGGGCTCGAAATGGCGGCTGCACCGCTTCAGGCAAGGCGAGAGAGGAGTTCGTTGGTTGACCGGTCGCGACTGGTAGGTTGGCGGGCAAATTACTCGGCAACATGTTTTCCCAATGGAAAACCACTGGTTACGGGAGGGAGGCAAGAGTTCATTGCCCACCATGAACTCACGACACTCTTTGCACTTCTTCTCTTGGTGTAATCCGTGGTAAAACCTGGTGCCCTCCCTCCCACTAAAGTGGCACCTGTGGGAGGGTACCTGGAAGATAAGATTCCTCTTGTGACCATTTTCCTGTCAAGTGCCATGCCGTTGGAGGGAGGCTAAATCCTGACAGTCCATAGTAAAACCTCATAGATTCCTGAGAACCCCTAGTAAAAACCTCACAAAATCCTGAGAATGCCTAGTAAAACCTCATAAAATTGAGAATGCCTAGTAAAAACCTGGCCTGAGACCAGCCACCCCCCGCCCCCTTTTTGTTCCGGCCAGGCACCTCACGCCCGCGGCGCCCAAGCCCTGGGCGCCCTGCGAGCCGGAGCCACGGCTAAAAAAAAACACATCGAGAAGAACGGAGATGGAGCCAAGGCGGTTCTTCGTAGAAACCAACAGGCACACTTGGACCGCCCAAATCGGCAGAAGTATGGACCGCCCAAATCGGCCGGAGGGTCCAGGTATGGACGACCCAGTCGCTCTCGAGCCACATGGCGTCACATTTGTTTGAGCCATATGGCTATGGCGTCAAGGCCAATGGAATGTGATCCCCTTTTGGTTGGGATCGGTGAATTCACCGCCTAATTTTAGAACCTACTTCAGTTGGGATTGGGCTGCACTCGGGGGTTACGATGCTCTCAGGCCATGTAGTGCCTTCAGGCGAGAAATGGCACAAGTCCTTCCAGTTGCTGAAATGAATATTTGTGTGCTTTCCCTTGTTGGTTCTAAAGGGAATCTATCACTACTGGACATATTTTGTATTCTTTTCCAGGGGGCCTAAGCAAATGGAAGACAAACAAAAAAGGAATGTCACAACTTTGTCAAACCAGGCATCCGGTTCAACTTAGGTTTTTTCATATCTTTTTCGTTGGTGAAATGTGGTAGTTTCCCTATTGCACCCACTAAAAGTCAGACTTTTAGCAGGGCATCCGAGGACAGCCCAGCTCATAAAGAACCAGAAGCACATAAAGATTTTTCCTTTGATTCGGGGCGTCGAATTGAATCGGGGCGTCGTTTCGAGGCAGTAACCGGGGTTTATTTCAAAGGCATTTCACAGGTGTAAGGACTGGTTCAAACTTCCAAAAACATGGACTGTTGGAGGGGGTAGTTTGGCACTCGCCCCAAGCCACACGCGGCCACCTTCACGTACCCGTTTTAAACCCTGGGAGTACCCATTTTAAACCTTAAGGGTACCTGAGTCAAACCCGGGTCTGTTGCGGGTACTCCGCCCGACGCCCGCTGCGCTACGGGGGCATCCATCGCGGTCCGGCCAGGGCCTCGGCTGGTGCTTTCCACGAGTCTCTCCATCGGAAGATTTTTTAACTTTTCAAGCCCATTGAAGGGCTAACCTTCAGAAAAAAAAACACTGAGAAGGGAAACTCGCGTTCACAACTTACGGAACTTGTGTGTTTAAAACATACGCTTCTAAACCTCACGTTTTGGCAGAACATGAGCTACCAGTAAAAAGGTTCGTACTAGGGCTACGCGTTGGAGTTGACTTGGGTGAAAGACACGAGAAACGAAGGTGGCCATGCTAGTAAGAAACATAAGTACAAGGCTTACAAAGAAGAAGCCACCGTTACCTGTAAAACAAGGACTGGGCTGGGTTAATGTTATACCTGGGGGGGGGGGGGCAAATCTAGCTTTGACGGCCCAAACTGTGTTTTTTTTGGGGTTGGGACTCCCAAATCAAACTTTGGTGGCCCAAATGGGTTTCGGGCCACTATTTAAGGTGTCCGGTTGATCTTGCAGAGGCTACCCCCAAAAAGGACTCCCAAATCCGGTTTTGGTGGCTCACACACGGTTTCCAACGCATTTGTCATGTCCCGTTCAAATTTCAGAGGGTACCCGCAAAGGACTCGGGCGGCCCAAACTGGTTTTGGGACACTATTTAAGCATCCACTGTTTTGGGGCTCATTTTTTCAGAGGGCACCCACCAAGGACACCCGAACTTTGCTTTGGCAGCCGAAGCTGGTTTTGGCACACTGGTTTTGGCACACTTTTGAAGTACCCCAAATCCAGTTTTGACGGC